ATGAAACCTTCATTTGTCAAGAGATGCTCGGACTGGCACAGCTATCAAGTGGATGAGCTCTACCAACAGACAGAAAACTAAACGCTGCTCTACACGGCGCCGCGTTGTGCTGTTTTCAAAGGCCAGTGTAAACACCATTTGCTGCTCCTTTCAGATGTAACCTTGCACACAGGAGTGACCACGAGGTTCAGCACACTTCACATGCAGCGCGGGCGTTGTGGTCGAAACGTTGCAGCGGCACAGCCTCTGATTGAAGTAGACACCGCCTCCACACCGACGGTTTGAGCACAGACTCATTGATTCGTCTTATTGATATTTCTAAGGACCGCTTTGGATTAGCTTAACCTGCTCAGAGGGAAATGAGTGGAATTGAATGACCGGAGCGGCCTGCAGAAAACAGACACTATGCACGTTGGCAGAGAGAGTTTTCTTCTGCATGTACAGCAAAATATCAGTATTGCCTTCACCTCCACTGAACCAATGAGCCACGGACCACCCTCACTAGGTTTCTCCGTGACTCCGAAGGAAACTTAGCCGAGCCTTGTTGAATATTCTGTTGTATCAACGGCTTGAATCCCTGTAGTGGGTCGGCAGCACTCTCACCACGTGTGTCTACTAGCAATGCCAGTTCTCAGATGTGAACCGTTGCTATTAGAAACACTCCCCTACCGTAGAAGATTGAAGCTCAAACACTGTCTCCACAAATGAGTCCATCAATTCTAATCCTAGAAAAGCCAAACAAGACTCAACTAAGAGCACAACCGGCTATAATCAAACTATAAAGACATTGTGCTATTGATGCTACAGTGAGGTTACACTGTCTGCTATCACTGACACAGCAACCTCTTCCAAGTTAAATTAGATTTGCATTTACTATCTGACCCCGGCGTGATCTCCCACCCAGCTGACCCCAGATATGATTTGAAATCTTGTACATCAGCAGAAAGCTGTCCTGTGGGGAGGCTGCTGTGATTCATGCCCCAGCCAAGACAAATAACGTGGCCTTGAATTAATCTCCCTGTCATCCCACCAAGCACTGAGAACCTGCGAGGTGCCTCCACAGTCTTCCAGCTGCTGCTTTTCAAAGTGCTGAGATCTTATTGTTGGAATCTGGGAGCCTTGTGCTGCTGGCCGATTGAAACCCCACCACGGTTTCATTTAATCCGACAAGTATAATCTTCTAAGGTTGCCCTTCCCCGCTGTGAGGTTTGAAAAGCTTATAAAAGACTTACTACATTGATCTGAAGACACTTGAAGAGGCCTTACTGTTGTGCCCATGCCGTAATCACAAATAGAGCCTTTGAAATAGAATGATGCCAAACAATGGCCGTCAGTCAGCGAGTCTCCCGTGCGATAAAAGCTTAATCGTTTTATCGTTGCTTCAACATGGTGCGGTCTGTCTTTGTGTGTCTGTAAATCCTCCAGCACTGATCGTTTAATGCAACCACAAAAGCTGCCGTGGTGGATGAAGTGGAGATTGAATAGGGAATACAAAATCCATGGGGATAAATTACTGTTTTCATGAAAATGAAAGCCATTAAGTAGAGTTCATACGGTCTGGAGTGCACACACACATTCTCTCACACTCATCAAGTGCTTTACCTCCCACTGCGCCACAATGAATTTCCCCCCGAGGCCGACATTCGAGGTTTATGCTCGTAATGACCCACAATAATTCAACGGTGATTGATCAGCGGAATCAACTAATGAGTTGCAACCCCCACGGCACGACGGAGACCTTTATCTCTGGGGATTGTCCATGAGGGCTGTGCTCCCTGATGTCTCACTGTGTGGTCACATGACTCACAGATATCTCACTGCGTTCTCCTGAACACACCGAGATACAAACGGTGTCCTGTGTTCGCGCTTTACTCCAAAAGGTTGTCAGCTCGCCACAAGGACAGCCAGGGAAGATATAAGACTTGGTGGCATAATGTATTCATAGGGGGAAAGATTGAGGAATTGGTCTTGAGACGTGATAAAGTGCCCGCTGAGGTGTCTTTGATAAATGATGATGAAGCTTTGACGCCTGGAGCTGGATCGCCACGTTCTGTTGAATTAGCCTGCAACTCTGCTGGTAGACTAACACTTGGACTGGCTGAGCAATGAACACATCGGAAATGTATTCTAGTGAGATAGTCGGCATTATGATGAAATCAAAGGAACTATCTTGAGTCTGGTGGAGGTATAAGCTCATTCTGATGCAAAGATAAGTCTGTATTCTTAAATCCACACTTCATGCATGAGTTCCTTGTTAAGACAAGCAATTACAGACAGAAAAATGTGTTTTTATGTAAGGAGACGGCTCATAGAGGAAGATGAATTATGTTAGCAGATTCTTATATTTGGATCTGTGTCAGCGAGCTGCTAAACCTGCTGCAGTGTAATAACTAGAATTCATCACAGTGTCATTTTATTTCACGAAGAAGGAATCAATTCCTCCGACTTGTCAGAAGAATTATCTCCAGGCTTGATTGAATATTTTAAAAGAGTGACTTTTCTAAATGAAAACAGTGGGTAAAGTGGTGCTTTTCACTCTTTTGATATACTCAGAATGAACAGAGCCCTGAAGTGGGGAAGCAGTTCAAAGAAGGCTGCCTCTAAGATACCGACTGTTCTTCCCCAGGGCGCATCGATACATCCACTCCTTTTCTCTAAATATTTCACCATGTGTGAATCACCCGTGCATTCAGATATTACATTCTAGCTACACTTGTGTGGAGCAGCCATTTGTAGTGTGCTTGATTAGCTTTAAACAAAAATGTTGTTCTACTACTCCGCTACTTCAACAAGATGAATATGATCCACTGGAACCAGAGGGGTTTCCATTCTCACTGACAATGTCCTTTACTTCAATGACCTCTCCTGAACATCCTCTTGAAGCTCCCCTTTATTGACGAAACTGGAATGTCTCTGTGAGTATTACTGATTTGAATGCAGCCAGAAACACAATGTGTCCGGGCTGCAGATACAATGACATCATCACACTCTTCAAATGCTAATTATATGCAGATTTGTAGTGTGATTCATGTATTCATTTGGCATGCCGAGTGGTGATTAGATGCGTGGGAGTAAGCAGCAGTCACTAATGCTCGGCAAAGGCTAAAAACAGCACGGTGAGGGGAAGCAAAAGGCGGCAATTTCTTTAATTTACTCGTGTGAGATTTGACCTTTTCGCCGAGTCCCTGCCCGTGGCGCTAAGGATGCTCGCATATGAAGGGGATTTGAACTTTAGCTCGCAGGGAGCATCTGACATATGTATGCTTACTGTTTGTGTCTCTGCCAGCGAGTCCAGAGGCACTTCTTAATGTCTTATTTCAGACACATTATTTTGTTACAATACCCAGGAGCAACCGTACACGTGACACCGTCCTCACACACCGGAGGAGCACACTGTGGCCAGGGATGCATGCTATTAAATATACGTTTAGTCGTTTATATTAATACTGGTGAAACATTTACAATTCTTGACACAAGATTTATTCTGCAGTAAAGAAAAAAACTACTTCTACATTCATTTGTATCATTTTTTTTGTGTTAAGGAAGTAATCAGGTTAAAGTTACCTCTCTAATATTGTTCTATATTGCTGTGAAAACATCTCGAAAAAACTGTATTTATTTGATTTTCTGGCCAAAAAGGGCATTTTACAAAACAATACTGATCATTTTTGGCCAAGCGAAACAACGAGAGTGAGCTGCACAACACACAACTGTATGTTTGGCCTTTTTAAACTAAAATGACACACTTCATATTGTGATAATTAATTGTAACAATAAAGCCAACCAATAGGAAACTTTAGGCTAACCAACCCAGTCTCACGCCATTTGGTGTTATAGGCACGAAATGTAATCTATTGATTCGTGTTCACCAACACGATTTCCCCATTTTTTTCGTGTCCCACAGAACGATTGTAAAAGCAATGTATTTCTATTGGTAGTATGTTTCGTGCCTGCACCAAATAATAACAAATTAGAAGGAAAATAAGATTTAAAAAATACAGATTTCGGTATTCTGAGGCTCTGAGCCACATTTATTTTCCTCATGGATGGCAAAAAAAGTCTGACATTATAAAATGTGACATAAAAACAATAACCGTGGCTTGATATTGAGTAAGAAAATGTTTTTATGAACCACAGAACAGCTTCTGGTCTTCCACGACCCGACCGGACAAAAATACGTGCTGCAGGCACAAAACATACTACCAATACAAATACATTGCTTTTCAAATCGTTATGAGTGACACGAAAAAAATGGGAAAATCGTGTTGGTGAACACGAATCAATAGATGAAATGTATTTCGTGACTATAACACGAAAAGCCGTGAGACTGGGTTGAGATAACTCCTGTTCACAACATCAACAATCTGTTCCTTGTCAATCGCAGAGCTTTCAAAGCGAGCTACAGGAATGAATAGAAACAGGAAGTCCAACAAACTACATTCTAATCGTACAATCAATCTGTTTGTGGCGTTTATGCTAGCTAGCATTCAGTCAGGTAACGGACATAACGTCCCAACAGTGCTCAGCTGTAGGAGCCTATCATTTCCATATCATATTCATTCATCCATACCCTTTCTAAGATAGACAAGTACAAAGAAAAACCCTATCTACAACAAGCTCCTTTTCCCTTATATCATACAAGAGAATCTGTAATAAACTGCATATATTATTTTGTTGCTGGAAAGCATGAGAAAGGGAAGGGGAAAGGAACTGAAATGCAACACAGGAAGCACCTCTCTTCAGTTTACTCATTCCCTTTGATGAACCCAGGAGAGGTAAATTCATGCAAGTGTGACAAAGCCTACGCTTCATTACACATTGAGATTGAAGCAGTGAAGTTCAGAGGAAACAATAACTTTTATTCAAAGCCTCTCTTCCCGTTCCAGCCGAGAGAGTTATGTGAAATACTGGACCGGATTTTAGAAAGCAGAAATAGGCTACATCCCTGAGTGAGCAGCGCTCTGACAAACGGACAGCGAGCTGAGGTCAGTGTAGCCTACCTGACACAGCTGGCTCCCAGCCGAGGCAATATGGGCTCCTCATACCATCTGTGGAGGAGAGAAAGACAGAGCCAGGTCAGAACAAGTGATATGAGAAAGAAGGAAAGGATATTGGAAAAGGAAAGGAGATTAGATGATGCTGTTTGGCTTTAGGGTTTTTAAGGCCAGCTGTCAACATAAGAAAAACGTGAAATAAACAAGTTTGCAGAGGCTTCGTTTTGAATCTGTAAAAAGCATATTTTTAAAATGAATACATATAATTCAGCTGAAGCCGTTCAGTCACAGAATGAAACAATGGGTCAGCATTATGCTTCATATAAACTGCATAAGGCTCAAATATATCTTGACATCAACAACAAGGGGAGTATTTATCTCATCAGTATGCTACACACCGCCGCTACATCTAACTACGGCAACACACAGACGGAGAAGGTGGAGGCTTCTATCGATGTTTGCTCTTTTATGAGAACTTATCATTCGAGGCTCACTCGCGCCCAGAAAAGGTCAAATGAAACTCTCACACATCAAATTGAGTTTTGTGAGCTTCCGTGGCAGACGCAGCCAATTGCAGGTTCTCAGGTTTTCACTCTCCTTCAGGATGGCACTGAACTCAGATAACACGCGACTAATTATTATATTCCAGAAGAATTTCAATTACAGGAGTTGGCACAATGGACATGACTGTGATGTTTCACTATGGGTTTATATATAGGATGTCTTCCAGTTGTTGTTACTCAATAATGAGAAGTAAACTGCAGATTTTCAGACTCATGACTCATCGTTATTGCAGGGCTGTTAGCAGGAAATGAACCCTGTTTTCCACGCTGTGCAACTTTCTCAGAGCAATTGATAGGATATAGAATGCAGACAGTCAAATCAAATGTCAAAGCGTAAACACAGTAGACTATAATTAATAGGGATATATTTTGGACAACAGTCTACGGTGAGGTAACAACGATTTCTGCTCATTATTTCAGGGAATAATTCATTATTTGTTTAACTATGAAATGTGTCACTGTGCAATTACCGATATTATATTGATATAGAGATTATAAGAGGATATTATCTCAGATGTATCTGAATATGGGCTCTTTTCCTGCTTTGAAAGGCTGCATTACAGTAACGTGATACAAAACAAACCAGACGGTTATAGCTTTTCTGTCATTTTCCTTATGTCAACTACGTCATTACAGTTTATGTACATTGCTGATGACTATGAGTAGAACATCTCAATGGGTAAATAGTTTGTGAAAGCACCAATAGTCAACCTTACAATATCATAATACCCTAAGCCATCATCTTAGTACGAAATGATTAATCCTACCAGAAACCTAAAGACGTCTAAAAATAACTAACTGCTCACATTGGAAAAAACAGAGAAAAAACCTCAACAGATCCATCAATAATAAAGATAGTTGCTTATTGATTTGTATCGATTAACAAATCAATTAGCAGGTAATCATTTTAGCAGTAGTTAAGATGTTAAGATAAATCAATGGGAGCCAAAGTGGATTACAGACAGGCCAACGAGCAGCTAGTAAAGCTAAGAAAGAGAAAAGCAAATCAAAGTAGAGCCCAATGATGATGTCTGAAGACAGGAAGCAGCGTGTCAAGGTCAGGAAGGAGCGCTGTCACCGCTAACAGGCAGGGAGCAGTGCGCTCTGGGTAATTGGGAAGAGCTTCCTGCCCTCTGATTTGAGTGGCGTGTGTCTGTGGAGTCAGTGTACCTGTTCAGGACTCAGCTACAGCCAGATGTCAGCGGAGTAATCGCAGCCTCCCATTAACACGTCACTCACACACCAACACGGAGGTGAAGGGGGGGGGGGGCGGGACACACACACACACACACACACACACACTTCTAACACACACTCATGAGCCCACACACTGATGAGCACTGACCTTCAAATTGGCTAACTATACAGAGAATAATGAAAGCATCACAATCATGCTGTAGTGGCCTATAGAAGCTAATTCACACATTTCATATCATTGTGTGAAGCCTCTTAGCATAACGCTGGAAAAAAAGATGCCTTTTGGAATGCATTACGCCCCCCCATGTCACCGCGCTAATCAGCATAATATGAATTATTGCCATCATTACAGTGGGTGGCCCGAGAAATAACAATAGGTCTTAATTATTCAACAACGAGGAATAATAAGGGGAGAGCGAATGCACCTTTAGTTTGTGCTGCCAGCCGTCATTAGACTTTGTGTCTCTTTCCTCTGGGAGCACACATCTTTGTTGTGGAAATGCATCCTGAGATGAGTGATGAGCTACTTTTTCGCCCCGAATATACTCCCCGTGTTGTTTGTCAGTGACGGCTCGATGCGGAAATTACCATAAGAGCCCAATAAAGACGTGCTTTGTAAAAAAAAAAGATATTTGTAGCGTGTAATTGTTATTGTTCCCGTGTGCCATTAAGGGGATCATTTTCGGTTGCATTTCAAGTCATGGTTCGGTCCCAGATGTGAAATCAATAGGGTTAACATCATTAAAACCTATTTTTATTTGCATCCCTTGTCATAATGAACATATAACTTGTGACTAAAACAAGCCAATAAAAGTGTATCTGTATTGTATATCGGTAACTGCTTATTTCTAAAATGTTCGTTATGCGTCCTAACCATAGACTGTATATATATATAAAGGTCCTAACGGAGCAATGGTGAGTGCCTGCTTATTTGATTTTTTATTTGAAGAAATGTTACAGCCTTTGTTATTAATTCTATTTTATTTGTTCATTTTGGTATCCACGTTTCATTTAACCGATGATCATTTTATTTCATGTTTTACCTATTTCATTTTGCAAAACATAAATTACTTTTTTCCTGAGCAGCACTTTGAACTCCATGTATGAAATATTTTACATAAATAAAGAAAATAGAGTTAAATAAACATATGTTGTTGACATATCAATCATATTGTCTCATGATCACCGTATGGGATAAAAGTGGTGGAAGTGAGGTGCTTTAAACTAATGCTAACATTAGCACACTCAAAATGACAATGCTAACATGCTGATGTTTAGCAGGTGTAGCTTACTCCTAATTTACTTAGCATACTAGCATGCTAATATGCTAATTAGGACAAAATACAAAGTGGAGCTGAGAAACTGATATCTGTTGCGTTAACTGTTTTGAAAGGTGCTAAATAAATATATATACTAGTTTGTTATATTGTTAGCCTATGTCTCGTTGTCTTGTTTCAAAAGGATACAAAATATGTAATACACAGTTTCAGTATTGACTGCTAACCTAAATTACATTAGGGTATCACAACTCGGGGTCGGCGAGGCCACACTCATTATGTCAGACTTTCCTAGAGAGAACAAGGATTAAGCTGAATCCTAAAATCCTTTCACAACGAGTTGCCAGTCATATGTCCGTCCGTCATAATGAAGACATGGTGATTACAGCGGACATGATTCGGAGCTATGAACCGCTGCCCTTCAAAAGAAAATGAAAAGAGAAATCATTGCTGAGGAGAAAGGAATCCTTCACAATACAGAAAGGATTTCATTGGGGTTTTCATGTATTACAGTTTCTCTCTATTATTAATCTAATGGCTAATGGACATGTCTGACAACCCTGCTAATCATCTGGCTCCTATTGACAAAGCAACAATCCTGACTGCTAACCGTGGGGGGTGTGTGTGGGGGGGGTGTCACAATCACAGCGTGCCTTTGTGTGGTCTGAAAGCTCGGAACAGATAGCATCAGATCCTGAGTTACCCGCGGGGCCCGATGAGATAATTAACTTTCAGTTGAAGGCGTCCTGAAGACTTCCTGTCAGCTGTCGTTAGCCGCCTTCACAAAGTCTCCGTCAGCAGATATGGAAACGACGTTTTTAAATTTAATTCCAAACATTTTGCAGGTAAAAATCACACTCTGCAGACATCCCAAGCCCAAAAATCAACTCAGTCTGTGTGTTCGCCCGGGGGACACGACTTCAAGGTCACATTACCTTCTCACTGGATTCTGTTCTCGTTAAAATTCAACCGCAAATCCAGATCACACGAGTCTGTTCTGAACCAAAGAACAACTCTGCTGCTTTACATAAACAGAAATAACTTCTTTCTTCCCAACGGACACAAAATCAGTGTTTGGGATTTGCCACAAACACAACAACACTTATAGATACTACTAGATATCAACTGGTAGTATTACTACTTCTACTGTCAGTAAATGCTTTTTGTTGTGCATTTCCAGCCTCTGCGACCCCTCATATTATATATATTGGTGGGAGATGTATTTATTACGATGTAGGTCAAACAGGACGTTTCCTTGTATTTTGGGGCGGATTTTTCAATTTTTCCCAAATATTTGAGGGTCTAGAAGACAGATCTATTGGATTTTCTTTTGATAACTTCTGATGCACTAAACTGATCCGACATGGATAAATACACAGTTCAATAAAGTGAATGTACATGAGGTTTACCAACTCAAAAATGTGTTAAATCACTCACTCATCAATTAATATGGCTTTCCGTTTTATTATTTTTTACTATTTTAAGTGGACCTGGTTGGGTTTTAGGCACGCAATAAGCAGGCAAACTGATTAAAATGTGCCTTCATTAAGTGTAAAAGCAGTGCCTGGTTCTCTAAGAGCATTGCATTATGCACGGTGCGTGAAGAAATAAGTGATTTTTTACATTTTTAATGGAAATGACCCAGATCTAATTGGGAATGGCCTAGATCTTGATTACTCTAATTACGCACCTGAAGCAGACAACACACTAGTCTCGGTGCGAGGCCTGTCACGGTGTCTTTAACATAACCATGGGTCTAATTGGTTGACCTTTTCAATGCACACCGCGGTATTAAAGCCCTAATTAAGAGTCCCATTAGAATCTGAGATCCTGTCAATTAAGTCCTTAAACACAAAGATTTAGGTCTCTCTCAGACATTCATGGAAAGCAAATGTCAGAAAGTGCAAGACCATACTGCTGTTAGGGGGTTTTAGAAGCAAGGGCGTCTTCAAGGTGGTGCATTGACGAAGGCTGTATGTAGGCTGACCCGTAAGTAAGCATTGCAGGGGTTTGACAA